CTTGCAATGTCTTGACACACCCTGTCCTGCTTCGACACAGTTGCTATAACATTGTGTGTGCAATACAATATGCGTGGAAGAGTTCAGGTCTACTGCATCGATGATGATGGTAACAACGATTGTTCAGGATGACCTTTCTGCTGACTATTGACGTTCTTGTGTTAATTGTTTCCATCTTTCAGCCCTACCTCCGCAGAACATTGATTGGTTGATCAAGCCAGTTTCGAAAAGTGAACTTTCCGTCCTCCTGACATATCGCCCACCGCCAACAAACCCTGGCCTACTCAAAGCCTTCACATTTGTACTCGGCGAAAAGGGAGCTGAGAGAGAGCGCGTCGCTGTAAGCGTCAGTGACGAGGTGAGTTTTGCGTCCATTCCTTTTGCAGACATATGATATCTTTAATACCGATTGGCAAATGCTGTGCCACCGTAAAACACAACCGCAGGTTTGTATAATATTGAAAAGATGGATAGACAACAATTTGACCTACTGAATATTTGCGAGTAGCCATTATTAATAGTACCCCTTAGGCCGTGATAGGATATATTTCTACCGGCAGTTATTCTTTAAACGTTTATTTTGAATGTGCTGTACAGGTGGGTTGGGCATATCAGGGCAAATGGAAAACATATAGCGGATAAAGATAGTAAATAACAGGCACAATTATTTCAATAACCGCGATAATTAAATCAGGAGCAAATGGGAAGTACAACCAATAATAAATGAGAACTGACCCGTGAATTGGACAAAATTAAATGACTGACAATCGTATATCGAGTTGATAGCGAATTTTCGAGGTTAGCGTAAAACCATGGCAGGAAGGCATTTTTCCATTCAGGTATTTGGACAGGTATTGAAGTATAAGAAGCCGCGAGGCGACGGCATGTGGGGTGCAGTGAGCTGTATCGAAAATGGAAGCCAAAACGGCTAGACGAATTTGGACATAGATCGTAGCCCTGTAAGCCAAAAAGCAACCGCAGGACGCTCAGCATTTCCGCGGGGGGAGTACAATGTGTGATAACTGCTAAAAAAAACCTAGAACTATACTGTATAAAAACCACTGCAATCCACGATTATATGAAATACTAAAACAAAAAAGTCTTTCTGTTGCGAAATAAGTCGTTAAATACGTAAAATAAACAACGGCGCTGTTTACAGGGAATTCTTACCGACTAAAGCTATGCGTCGAAACATCCTCCAACGAGTATCTGCTAGCTATCTTTCAGTCTTGCTGAAAAAGATAATCAAATGAACATGCGTTTTTTCTCCTGGTTCCTTTCTTCCCTTTAAGTTCACCCGTCAGCTGCATGGCCAGGTTTCAGTCACGCCCGAGCAAGTGCGTCGGTCCCAGGTGGATGACACCATCTTCCTTAACGTCACGCTGAAATCACCGCTGGCTCAGGGCAAACCCCTCCAACTGAGGGTATTCACCAACGGAGATGAGGATGGCGCGGCTGTTTTCACGCTTAAGCCTCCGACTTTCGGTGAGATCTAATTGTTTACCGAAAAGCCGATGAAACTACACCCCTACCGCAATCTGTAGTGCGGGGTGAAGCTCAGATAATTATGTACACTTCTTGCGCTCCCTTGACAATCAGAAGCAGAATAACACATAAACCAGGGAAGTCATTCACAAAAACAATGCTACTTGCATTGTGTGAGTAACATTTTAGTGGTAGCAATTTGCAGGAGTGCACGTACAGATTTATTTGACGCATGGACATGTACAAGATGCAGTTCTCAAAGACATCGCCTATAAATCTCATCAAACTGACTGATAATAAATTTATAACCAATATTACCAATTAAAAGTGGCACATCATGGCTGGCGCAAACCAATATAGTTTCAAGTTTGCGAAAATTCCCACTGAAAATACCAAAAGATAATTTGGCGTGCATAAGTTTGCTGTCGATTGATTATCTTCAGGTCTGTACATTCATATGGTAATGAATTAAATAAACTGTGCTGGTTGGTGAAAAGATGTTGTGTTGTTGGCGTAAGAGGCGGTGGTGTGAGGTCTATATGAACCGGCGGCCAAGACAGATGATAAGGTGCGCGCGGTCGAATTGTGAACTTGTCTGTGTCTGGGGGCCACCTCGTATTAGCGACTTTCGCCCATGGAAACTGCGGCACTTTAACTAATGTATTTTGAGCGCACATTCCCGGTCTGCGTGCCTGATGGCAGCTGCTTCCGCTGTAGCCAATAGACGCTGTCCAAGTAATTTTTAATAGCCGGTAAGCACCTTGTAGATCCCTCGGAAAGCCCCTCTGGCATCCACGCGGTGGTTTAAGTCTAAAATGTACGCTAAGACAGAACTATTAGTGCTCTTTATTTGGCCCATCTCTTACCATGCTGGCAGGTTTTCTCGTAATCTTTTGGACAGACGCCGGCTCGTGTGTCATCTACATCTTTCCACCAACCAGCACAGTCTATTTATATAATTACCATATAAATGTATATTCCTGAAGAGAATTGATAGGAAGCAAACGTTTGGTCACCTATTTATATTTAAATATAGTTTCTAAAAGAACGGCTGACTACAAAACCACGATTTTCCAACCAGTGTCTACTCAATATACCGACTTTAGGTAAATAAAGGAAACGATCCGTTCTTAGGTGGCTCACTGAGTGTTCAGAGGGAATAAGTGTGATTGCCGAAGTCCTTGTGCTGACACAACGAAGGTTTCGCCAATCAAAAGTCAGCAACGATAGAGTAGGTTGGAACAGCTTTTTACTGTGGGAAGGGTGCTTTACAGAGGGCAACGTGAACACGGGTCTGTGGCCTAGGATTAACTCTAACTCTGTGACTAACGCATAACTACAAGTTCACTGGTTACCTGGGAAAGGGGACGAATAAAAAGGTTAAATTAAGCCTACTAAATTGAAATAAGTAGGTATTTCATATCAGAAAATGCTATGTGGGGTCACATCATCGACCATCGCTAGGACCCCTTGCAAGTGGAACTGATATTTTCTCAAAAATCTCTCGCGCGCGCAATTTAATGCGTAAACATGGTTATATTGCTTTAATCCTGATGTAACTCAACTCGTCAGTTTGCTCGATATTCCATTTAATCTCTTCCGAAACACCCTGCCCCCCTGTATCAGATCCAATGCAGTTTTGGGAAGCCAAAGTCAAATCTGTGCAGAGCAACGCAATATCCTTTACATGGACCACGCCAATCTTCGGAAGCCAGACCTTGTCAGAGGTAATCATTAAGGCCAAGCCCACGGACATTACGTTGCCGGAACGAACAACCCACAAGAGTGGTTACTACGGCGATGTGGACGAATTGCAACCGTGGACAAACTATAGCATCACCCTAACTGCCGTCTACAC